TTTATCAAATTTATCTAAATGAACGCGTCATTGGGACGGTACTTATGGATATTTTTGGTTGCCATTGAAAATTTAGTCGATTGCTGAAATTATGTATGGGCCCAAATTAGGGACACTCAGGCCGACATTACATACATTTTCCCTAGGTAGTTTCGTCTCGGGAAGGGCCTGTTTTCTCATCGTCACATGACGACCGTGATATTTACCAACTCTGGATATTGTTGAAAATCTAACACTGCTTTTGACCCCAAACTTGGCCTACGGATTCTAAACTCGGCCTAACGCATTGAAACTTAATTGAATTCAATTCGGCCTATCGAATGAAGATAAAAATTGATTCGGTCAGAGCGCTTCTTTTGTTTTTGAGAATAATGGGTGCAAACATTCATATCACACGTTCTTATTAACTTAGTTCGGTAGATTGTGAACAAAAGTATCGTTAAAAAGACTTGTTAACTCTGAAACAATGGATTTATTTAATGTGTTCTGCTCGATAGACAATGGGAGATTAGTCCGAAGTAGCTCTCTACCCTATTTAAGATAGGGGAAATGGCTCTAATGTTGGCCTATAGATCTAATAGTGGGTCCATCGCTAAAATCTGCTATTTATCAATTGTATCTAGATGAACGCGTCATTGGGATGGTACTAATGGATACTTTTGGTTGCTATTGAAAATTTAGTCGATTACTGAATTTAAGTTTGGCCCAAATTAGGGACACTTAGGCCGACATGATATACATTTCCCCTATCATACCGATTTAAAAAAAAAAATGACCGCGTGTCAGAAAAAAAAACTATTGTAACAAACGTTTATCTTTTGGAATATGTTAAAGTTTTTGAGCCTTGCTTTAATAATATATTATGCTTGATACTCTTTCGACTAGTGCTTCCATTTCCTCTAAGTTTTCGGTTACCCAGGTGTGCGACTTACCTTGTCAAGAGCTGTTCCGAAAGTGAGTGAAGAGTTGCCCGTGTGTGTTTGTGAAGCGTTGCCATAGAGACTTCCGTTTACCGGCATTGAACTGTTGCGCTTACAACTGGGGGCTGCACACACGGCTTGCAGACTCGTTAATCGTCAAGTTAAGACCTGCTTACACTAGCGCTAATGTATGCCACACACCAGGAATCAAGAAACAGCTGACGGTTTATCCTGGTAATTCCTGGGAATCGGGAAATATTTTTATCTTTGATATTACCAAAAAATTCCGTCAGAATGTTCATTTTTTAATATTGACGTTTATTTAATCATCCCTTGGAAGTACCCTAGCAGCACACTTGTTCCCCGAACAGTTGTGGTTACTTATATGTAACTTATTCCAATTACAATCAAGTTGCTGCAACTTATTGTGATGGTAGTGTACTGTTCCCTTTTTTATCTCCATCTTATTTTGCGATTGTTCGGAAATTACTTTCGACTTCCCTCAGAAGCATCTTCTGGCTTCGCTTGTTCTTTGGCCAGGTTGTTCGGCTTCTCCGGAATAGTGTGCTAACATTCCCTAGAAGATTCTACCGATTTCCACCGGAAATTTCTATCGAAATCCCCCAGGAATCTTTCTTCCGAAATATTTTTCTGAACTTCTCCTAGAAGTTTCTTTTGACTGTCCCCAAAACCTTTGGCTACACCGGAAGTGTTGGAAGTAAGTAGTGAAAGCCCCTGGATGCGTGTCTATAACAAGAGTGTCTATAGCAGCTCCGGGAACGTTGATGACAGCTGCCAGTATGAGTGTGTATGAGTGCGTGAGTGAGAGTTTGACGAAGCATAAATTGCTGATGTGTGTACAATTTATGTTTGTTGACTAGTCCATTGTAACTTGTAAATAAAGACGCCCGTAGAACGTAGTCCGCGGTTGTTATTTTTCGTCGTTATCACGGGACTCCCGGGACGGGTGTTTAATGTCCGGTAGTTCGGTTTGGATAACCTGTGTACACCTGCGCTGGGATTCCCACAGGAAGAAGCTTCCGATTTTCGTAAGAAGTTTCTTCCAAACTATCTCAGGAAGTTTCTTCCAAACTAGATCAGGAAGTTTCTTCCTTTAAACTTCTACCGAAAGTATCTATCGGATCATCCCAGAAATTTCTTTCGTCTTCCTCTCCATGGTTCGGAGGTTTTTTCCGACTTATATTGGCAGGTTTTCTCGAGCTTCATCTAGCTTGCTTTAGAAACCGCTACTCCTGAAACTGTCTTCCGATTTTCGAAACCGTTCTGACTTCCTCTGAATGTATCATCCGATTTTCCCCGCAAGTGTTTCCATATTTTACTTGGAAGCTCCCCGGATGTTTTTTAAACTTTTCTTAGAACAAACTTCCTTCTATCTTCTTTCTCTGGAAGTTTTTTCGGCTTTTTTCAAGAGCTAATTGAAACATCCCCCAGAAATTGCTTCCTAATTTCCTGGTAAGTCCAAACTTTCAATTCGCAAAATATAAAATAATTAAAATAGTAATAAAATAAAATAATAATAATAATTCCGATTTTTTTTAAACCTTTGATACCGATATGCTTAAAAACAATCTGGCAACGCTGGTGACGTTGTATACACGCTTATTTCAGCTTACTCACCGGGTGAGTCGATCGTACTCAATTAACCACTTCATTCGAGCAGTTAAAATGACGTTTACTACCACTCGAACTTTGAAATAAGCCATTATTTTGAGATTTTTTTCTAGAACCTCGAGAAAAGTAGCCAACATTTGTGCGTTTCATAAAGAATAGAAATTAGTTGGTCCAGTTTTGTGAAATCGCTGGTAGAAAGTCACGCCAAAACTGCTTGACAAAGTGGTCAATTTCGTCCAATGCATTAGGTTGTCAAAATCTGAGTAAACGAGAAATGTCAAACTGAGTAAAAGCCACCCAGTCAGCCTAAAAAAACCCGGCCGTGTCGAAGCGAACGCTCTAAGAAACGGCGAAATTATTGTAAAACACCGGAAGAAATGTATTAAGGTAAGTAGGAATAGCATGCGGAGAAGATTTTCAATCGTCTTCAGCTCCAGTTAAATTAATATGGAGCAAGAAATTTCTATTTTTTATCAAAACAAATAAAAAAAAACAATATTCCCGGCTGAAAATATCACACAGTGATTTTGACTCACTCTGCGCGAGAACTCTAAGACCAGAAGGTCCCGAAAAAACGAGCTCAATTTTTTGGCTCAGCTCTGGTATTATCTTCGGTCCCAAGCTAATCGATTCACCCCTCGAAACATAGGAAAATCCACTAACCCCTCATTTTATTTGTCAAACTTTCAACTTTCAATCAAAACAAACATAGTGTAGTACTGGAATTTAAACTAGAATGGGGTACGTTAGTCGATTTGTTTGAGACCTAGTCAAGTAGTGAGCCAATTTAAAATCGTTAGTTTCGTATTGATTATTGGTAAAAGTACGCCTTCTCACTTTTGAGCAGCCATACTTCCCGCTGAAATGAGCATGATCGACTCAATTTGAAGTTGTTGCGAGTTACCGTGTTTTTCGGCTTGCTGTCACTTGACATAGTCCTCTCCAGGCGGGTTCGTATTGGTGCGATTTGCGTGTGTTAGTGAGATGAAAGTTTTTGTTAGCTGTGAGAAATTTTTTGTTTGCTGTAAGAACTGTCATTCTAAAGTAAAAATAAGCAACAAAACGAAAACAAACCCTACGCTTGCACGGTAACAGTCAAATACTGTTTTATGAGTAAAAGTTGACCCATTTTTAATAAAAGTGGCTTTACTCATTAATGAGTAGATGATTTTAACAACAATGAGTTTCTGCTAACAGTAGCTAACAGTTACTACTTAATTGGTATAATAAGTTACTCATTAATTAGTAGTGCCATTTTTATTGACAATGGGTTCACTTTTACGCATAAATGGAAGTTTGATTCTTACCGTGCACATGACAGTATACGCTAGTGTGTGTAAAATTATATTATTAGTGTAGTGTTCGTGAGATCCTGCTTGGAGAACTCAATGACAGTTTGTTATATCTGTGGTCGTGGGCGTGAGATTATCGTGATCAACCGGAAAAACATTGTTTCTGTAACGTGTAACGTCAACAATGTGGTTACGTATGAATGATAAGGAATGAAAAAGAAGCACGATTTCACATGCCGAACCTTTGTAGATTGAGATTCATCTTCGGTAGGACGAAGTTGCATCCATTTATAGACACAATTTGAGTACAGTAGACCGACATTACATCCACTTCCCTGGAATGTTTTCGTGTTTAAATTGTGAGCTTTACAATTTCCAGTCGTGCTCAATTAATATCCAAATAAAATAATCTAAACTTGCTGTTGAAAGTGAAATGTCGACTGCAGCTCAATTATTACATAATATACGGCCTAAAATTTAATTGAAAGCTTCATTTAGCCCGCGATTAGGGACATACCATATATCTCATATTTAATTTTTAATAAATAAATTGCCATAGTTCCTCCACTACTAGCTCACCCATCCTGTGAAATGATTGGAGGCGAACCAGCCCAAGGCTGAAAGCCTCCCTAATAAAGATAAATAATAATAATAATCCTGTGAAATTATTAAAATATAATAGGCTGGGCTGGCAAAATCATTCATTTTTGTATTAAGAGTTCAATCTATCAGGGCGTTCGGAAAATCTGAATTCGAATAGTAAATATCCTACATTAAAAGAACGATACAGTTTTAAAAATATCAAGGAAAGCAACATCAATTCGTTATATTTATTGTTGTAGTTGTTTTTCGATCAATCTTACGGCGTCATCTTCGCGATACAATACGCACAACACTGTGTAGTTTCCACTATCCTCTCGGAACCTATTCATATCTTTAGTGATTCTATCTGAATTCCGTACTGCTGTTAGCTATGTCACTTTGTCGGTACTTTGTAGTAAAATGCATCAGTTAGTTGGTAGATATTAGGTAGGTTGTTTCCACTTTGACTTGAGTGGAGTCGATTTTGATTAGTAATTAATTTGGTTTCCTTTCAATACGGTTGATTCAATTTTATGTGAAGTATCTTAACAGCAATCAACAGTTAGCGTTTCTTTTTGTTTTGCCAAACATGCTGGGGTAGTTTTTTTTAACAACGATACACAAATCACTTGCAATAATTTGCGCGACGTAAATTGGCTGTGCATGTAAATCAATGCTTGCGTTGCGAAACAATTCAACGTAAAATACTCTCTTAAGGATAGCCGATTACAATAAAAAAATATGTTCAAATTTACCTTTGCACACCCTGTTGGATTATATTACTCATAGTAGATGCAGTTTTCAACTGTTCGAGGCTTGCTAAGCGTTGGCTAATTCTTTTAAATATAACAATCTTCTGTAAGTAAGTTTAAGTGAGATAAATATGAGTTTATAGATTGTAGCAATTGAGAAGCGCTAGTATATACAGAGTACAGTGAAGCTGTCTTTGTCTAAGCTACCCACAATGAACACATGCTCATTTTAGTTTGCCAAAATCTCTCATTCAAATCGCTTAGCTAAGACGCGGATAATTTTGGCAATAAATTCCGTTTTTTTTGGGATTTTTCAATCGTGTCACTTTTGTTCATTACAAAAATAATAAACCTAGTCAAGAAGTCTGAGGTCCTCTGTGTGGTAGTGTTCGGTTAATTACTATGAGTTCAATTCCAGTTTTGCTCGTCGCCGTAGCCGCTCTTCGTGGTGAACATTTTCAAACATAGCTATACTGGTTGTCCACGGCCCTCTGGCCGTCCTCACCGGCAGCCGCTGAGGATCCACTTGCTGGTGCGTTGCCGGTAGCTGCCCCCATTTGACTACTGCCACTGGTTGCTCCCTGATTTCCGGACACCTCCAGTATGGTTTGCTGCGACAGTTCCAAATCGCACGTTTTGATCCGAACGCTTCCGTTCATGGTGATCACCTGCAAGGGCTGCGCAGAACACCATGCCACAGAGTCGGGGTTGCGTGCGAAGAGAACATTGGAACAGCATGATTCGATCAGGAGGGTGGGTTGTGGTGGTGGTGGTGATGATTGGAAGGATGGGTGGACACGATATTTGAACTATTAGAATGTTCGACTAAGAAGCATTACTAAAGCGCCTATGAAATAGGGAGAATAGAATATAAAAATACTACTTACCCCATGAATCAAAAACAGATACGGAATAACAGTTCTCAAACTTACAGTAGACATATTTTGCGAAAACTAAAATTCGAAGAGGTTGTGTGCTTTAGGAGATGCCTAAGACTCTTAATATGACGCTAAATAACTTTATCGAAAAGACAGCAGCGATAGGGCATTTTCAGCTTAAAACGCCAAAAATAAAGCCACTTTTGTCCCGACCCTTTTAGAGTTGAATGAACATTTGCAGAAAGATGACAGTTTCCATTAAAAAATTGTATTTTTCTGTAGTAAATTTTTATAAGAGTTTATGTAAAAATGTGTTTCATTTTTTCAAAAAAAAAAATATAATTAGAAAACGGTTTATTTAATCAGTACCCTCTTAGATTCCAAATTACACTAATTGGATGTAAAGACTTCGACTTATTAAGCATCTTTGCATTTTGACGTAGAACTACATCTATGTGGACTATACAAAAATACTACGCAAATAAAAAAAAAGTGTGACGAAATAGTGTTAGGTTTCGGACGCTTGTAACGTTGTCATTTATAGATAAAATTAAAATCCAAATACACCAATCGATAGGAAATAACTCTACATAATAAATAATTTTCCAACTTCCAATAAAAAAGCACTTTTGAAAATGTGCCAATGATAATTTTATCACTGTTTTCATGAAACACCACGTGGTTACCAATCGTTCTGCTTGAACCTGAAAAGTTATAAAACAGCGCTGCTCATTTCCCCTTCGGACATCGTGGCAAGCATCAAGCAGGAGCAAGTCAGCGGTAAGAGGAGGATTTTTTTCATCAGCCCTCATGCAGAAACATTTTCCTCGCAGCGGACGACGTGATCACCTTGACAAACAACCAGCGATGGGGTGGAAGGAGACTCACCTCTTCAACGAGCTGGTTTTGCATTAAACTATCCGCACCTACCCGATATCATTCGATCGGACTGGCGGTTTTCCATATTTATCTCGCTCTCATATTTATCTATCATTTGTTGAGAGTCGACCGGATGATATCGGGTAGGTGTGGGATGAGCTTTTTTAAGTAAACAAGCATGCTGGTATTCAGGAATATTTTTGTTGAGAAAAATGGAAAATTATAATAGTGCCTTAGTGGTTATTATCCTCCGGATTTCTTGTGTGTGAATAGTTTAGGCAACCGGTTAGCATACATAAGTATATCTGTAAATATCGCGTGAGATTTTTCATTGAAAATTAATTTTACCAGCTCAGCAGATTACATGCGAGCTGATCCGCCAGGCGCAAGCGATGTCTCGCAAATAAATATTAATTAGTCCATTCCTTCGTTCAAGTCAATATTTCAGTTTTGCTAAAGCGATTTGTTTTGAAAGTACTCGTGTATCAGTGGTAAAAGTTTCGTCTCGATACGTGCAGTTCAAAAAAAAAGTTGTACTAGGGTTTTTGATCTAATTTCCGTCCTACTAAGCACATATGACTTCTAAATTTATTCACCTGGATTTGATAAAGAGTCATAAATTTTTGAGATATTGTTTAAAATCTAATACTGCTTCTTGATTCTAAATTCGTTCTACGAGTTTCAATTCCGTCCTAACGCATTGAAACGCCGTTAGATTTTCTTCGTCCTACGGATAAACGTAGAAAAAGGAAATTCGCTAGGAGCGCTTCTTTTGTTTTGAGAACAATGAGCGTAAATATTCATACAATGCGCTCTAATAGGATTTATGTTGTAGCTAATGAACAAACGCATAGGAACAAACCTATTATTGATTTGTGCATGGGGAAATCATTGATATTATTGATCTTTTCTGATCGATTGAACGGAAATCGACGATTTGTTGGTGAAATCAAACTTGAATTTGCTGGGGACATCACCCCGTGCTGTGGCCAGATAAAACTTTTGTCCGGGAACCTGCCTGAAATCTTGACACAAGTTTCGTCGTCCATGAGAAGGCATCCTCTGTAGTTTGTCAGAACCCGGTCGTACAACTTTCGGGCGCGTGTTCTGGCCACTAGATTGTGCTTCATCGTCCTGTTCGGTTGCTTGGAGGCACGGAATGAACGGTAACTTGCTCGCAGACTGATCCTCCGGACGGTCCTACCATAGAGGTAACTCTAAGACCAGAAGCTCCCGAAGAAACGTGTTCAACTTTTTGGCTCAGTTCTGGTACTATCTTCGGTCCCAAGCTAATCGATGTACCCCTCGAAACATAAGAAAATTCACGAACCCCTCATCATAATTTCGACTAAAATGGGGTACGTTAATCGATTTGCTTGGGACCAATAAGCTAGTTTCCACCGGTTGGTACTACGTCTGGCACCGTATTTTTTGGCAGCATCCCGGTCTGAGAGTCGTGGGTTTCTCTTGATCGACCTCAACACCTTCCAGTTCAGGTGCCGATCCAAAGTTCCAGCACGAAGTTTGATTTGAACCACTTGAAAACTTCTCCCACGGAAGAAACGGCAATTTTAAACTTTTTCGCTATATTTCGAATTGATCACGTCGGATTTTCGACGTGGGAATGCAAGATCGATTTTCAGTTCCCGTCTTCCATCTACTACAACTTTTTTAATACGGCACGTATCGAGACGAAAATTTCACCACTGAATCAAGTGTACTTTCAAAACAAATCGCTGTCAAAACATTCCAAATCCGACTACTAGATGCGCTGTTATAGAATAAATAATGTGTCCGGATTCTTAGTGGACCACACTTTAGGATTATCAAATCCATCTCGGGCTCAATAAACACCCTATCAACATAGTTACCCATATTCTCGTTTTCGTTTGAACCGTATTTTCCATACAAAAAACTACAAGGGACAGCTCTATGGTGACGTAGGAATACGTGGTCTTATATAATAAATCTTATTTGTTAACTGCACTCTCTGTTTACATTCTTTAGTATGACGCGCTTGACATGGATGGCCCACAGCGACTCACGAAGAGCTACTGATTCCGATCAATAGATGCTCGTTTATAGATGCTCTTGTGGGCTGCAGCTCGCTGTTTGCAGGCAGCCTTTCGTTGTGTACTGAAGAATACCACGCGGTGATTGAGTAAACACCGTTTGGTGAGTGGAATTCAATTTTGAAATCTGTGTTTGGGAAATCGCTTTTCGCAGGAAATTGGTCGTACAATTTTCAATAGTGACATTTTGAAAAATGATAGTCTTAATTTTAACAGATTCGTAGAAAAAATTCCTATCGAATGGCGTATTAAGAATTATAATCCATCATTTCTGGATCAAAATCAGACCACTTTTATGCCACGATCGACTTTGGTTTTTGAAATTGCATCCCCAATGATGCCTTAAAGTACATGGTATGTTAGGTTTAAACATATCTAGATAGAGCTAGAATAAGGCGTAACAGCTTTTGTAAACAATAACTTCTCTCGATGATGTTTAGAAATTCAAGGCAGGCTCACGCAAACCAACATTACCGTCGGGTAGGGGAAGTCTTATCCTACCTGATGGTGATGTACATTTGCGTGGGCGAGCCTAGACTTTCAAGACATCATCGAAAGAAGTCATTGTTTACAAAAGCTGTTACGCCTTATTCTAGCTCGCCTTACGCCTTAATTCCAGCTCTATCTTGATATTGGAACTGACATCCGTTTGATGTCCTAGACAAATGTCCAAAAATACTCTTTTACAAATTGATGGTGGTCCTGAAAAGGACCTTTTTGTCGTGATGGTTGAGTAATGCTGAGCCATTAGGGTGTTAAACACAGATGAGGCTGGTGAGTTGTATGTTGTTTGGAATAAGGGTGACGCGCTTGGCATAGATGGCCCACAGCAACTCACGAAGAGCTACTGATTCCGATCAATAGCGGTGTGGCTTCTTCCTTCTTCTATGGATGCTCATGTGGGTTGCAGCTCGATGCTTGCAGGCCTCCATTCTTTGTGTACTGGAGAACCATGTTCAACGCCACGCGCCGAAAGCACTGCTGCTGCTGCTGATTCCGACGACCGGACACCACCACACACGGTGATTGGAACTGAATCGGATCAGCGGTTGAGGCCAGCCTTGATAGCTAGCTGCTTGCGGGGAGCCTTTCGTTGTGTACTGGAGAACACCACCACTCACCACGCGATTGCTGAATAAACACCGTTTGGTGAGAAAGAAATGGTATTCAACTTTGAAATCTGTGTTAGGGAAATCGCTTTCCGCAGGCAATCGGTGATAATTTTAATTATCATAGCAACAGTTGCACATTCGTGCATTTTTCAAAGGTGGTGTTTTTAAAAATGATAAAGTCTTAAATTTAACAGATGCGTAGAAATATTTCTGATCGATTGGCGATAAAATTATTGAAATTGGTTCAGGGGCAGCTGAGTTATTAACGTTCAAAATCTTTCATAATTTTGTTACATTCCATTTTTGGTTTTCACAAAGTATATCCCCATATTGAAATTACAGACATAGTCCTACGTCAACATATACGAACGAAAACAAGAATAAGGGTTAGTGTCAATTTAAGTACAAATACACTGAGCATTTGGAATTTTTCAGTTAGGAAGGGGTTCATGGATTGAGTCAAAATAGTCCACCCTTTGCGTTCCGGTAGTAATGAAAACGACAAAGTAGGCATCATATTTGAGAGCCGTCTCTCACTTTCAATCAGTTGAAGATCTTCAAACTACCTAATCGTCATGAAGTCATACGGTTATTTGAATAATCTCTGATTCAGCTGACATAGTGAAGAAATATCATTGTAAAAATATCCAAGGGGCTTTGAAATTCTCCGAAGATCAGTGACCGTCTCTGACTTTGCATTAACTAAAAAAAATGGGTGCACTTTGAAGAAATACCA